ATCGTCCTATATGAAATACCTAATAAATGGACGACTTTACACACAAACGATCGGCCATCGTCCTATATGAAATACCTAATAAATGACATACGAAGTAGACGAAGAAAACTCAGAAACAACACAAAAGCAGCTATACCTATACCCTGGCACGTTAAGGTTTTCATGGCACGCAGATTTTCGCCCATTCACTGCCTGAGACTTTCAAGGCAACGTCTTAGCTTCCGGGCATCTTGACTGGCTTGACACTGAGGAAAGCCACACCGCGCACGATGCCAGTGTCTTCTTGTTTAAACTGCGGTTTCTACGCTTGATCAGGCTCGGGCTTCGACTTTCGTTGACCTGCCTGCGGCGGTTTTTTCTTCGGATTTACTCCTGAACCTCCAATGTTCTTGGTGTCGTCTGGTTCCGTTGGCTTCGGCTGCTATGGCTCACTATCTTCGTTTGAGTTGGTCCGGGGCTGTTCGTTCTTCTTCCTTTACGCCTGCTCTCCGGCAATTTTTTCCAAATTTTCAGATTCCTTGTTTTCTGTTACATTGCTTGGCTGGTCTCCTGGAGCTCTGTCTTCTGCAACCTCGCCCTTCTCCTGCTTATCCTCAAGAGCCGCCTTTTTTCCCAGAGCTGTCTCTTTGTCGTCTTTGTTTTTCTTTCCCTTGTCGCCGTCTTTTTCTGATGTTTCTTTCGCCCTTCCGGATTTTTCATTCACTCTCTGCACCTCTTTTCTCGCTGCACTGGGTTTGGAGTTAATCTGCTTTTCCCTGCTTTCAGTTTCGGCTGTGTGCTTGTCTTCTGACTTTAGCTCCTGGCAGACGTCTTGGGCTTTGTTTTTTTTGCGTTCCATCGTTTTCGGTGCTTTCGCCGTTTTCTTCACTCTCTCCGCCACGCTATCTTTTCTCGCAGAACCATGTTTGGAGTTCGTCTGCATTTCTTTGTCACGATCTTCGGCTTCTTCCTTGTTTTTGGTTCTTCTTCGCCCTCAGCTTCAGCTTCGCCCTTGTCCTATGGCTTTCCTATTGCTCTGGCAGGCACCTTATGCTTCAGATCTTCGCCCTCTTTTGCTGTCAGTGCTTGACATTCAACGGAGTTCTCGGCATGCGACAGGTCTTGTTTGAAAAGTGGGTCTACGTGTCTTTTGCGGGCTGCAACTGGCGCGACTTCTGGTTCCTGTAGACACTGGGTGTCCCCTGCTTCTGCCGTGGCGCTTCCGGTTGAGAGTAGATGATGGCCTGTCACGTAAACTCTGGAGCCATGCTGGACAAATGTACGACGGAAACGTACCTCGAAATCCTCCCACGGTGCGATTTGGGAGCCTCTTGAGTGGTACCATTTATTGACAGATCCAACCTCTCAGTTCTTGGTAGTTTCCAGCGTGTATGCAGCTGACCACGCATGAAATTTTGAGCACTGTTAGTGTACGAGATGGTGATATAGGAACTACCTATTGCAAACTGCGCCGTTATCGGACGTACCCGTCACGGTAATGCGTCAGTAAAGTTACGATTATAAAAAAGTTTTGTTCACTTCAATGACCCGGGAGTTGCACCTATGAACTCTCATTCTACGACAATACTTTCCGGACGCTCTACTTACTGCGCCACCAACGCTCATGCATAAGGCTTCACAAACTTGTTTATATATCTCACACCTTCTATCCTACACATTGACCTTGATTTGAGGTGGGCGGAGTAATATGGCCGTCTCAGATCAGTACAGTGCTGCATGATGAACGTGACCTCCGAGATTAGCTCCGATTGTGCGTTGCCAGGGCTAGTTTCGGAGATAACCTCATGACGTTAACGAACTCCTGGATTGAGCGCTTGGGTTGTTGCAGCTTTTCGTGCTACGGGAAGCAGAACAGCTTCTCACGTTAACGGCTAAAGCTAAGAGTTCTTCCTCTTGCGTTACAGAAGCGCTGTGCAGTATGCATGAGCAGAGGCGTAGGTTGCCCTGTTCATAAGCAACGCACACCTTAGCCTTTCGCTTCTCAAATCATGATGATTTGAATGGGCGCATTTCGAGTACCAGTACCAGTGTTATGTGCTTGTTCGTTGTACGGAATTCAGCATATGCTGTTCTGTGGTACAATAACTACTTAAGCTACCGCAAGGGTTATGGAGAGCAATTATACTTCGGTAAAGACATGGTTCGCTTTTGTGTCATACTGATTCCAAAAGAATCAACCATGCTGTTTTTAACTTTCCTCGTCTCGGGTGCATGTAAAATTTCTTCTTTTACAGTGCTGCCAGCTTTCAACTGTCTAAATTAGTAAAGTATGGTGGGCTCTAGGTGAGTGTTTATTACGAATACAATTTTTCGCTAGAAATTACTGTTAGGTCCTCGCACATGATAGCACCGAGTTGTAATAAAATATCATCATAATCAACCTGACTATACGCCCACTGCACAGCAAAAGCCTCTCCCACGATCCCGCAAACCCGGTATGTGCTTTATGCTCTCATGTTATACCTGCGAACTTTTTAATCTCATCGACCCACCTAGCTTTCTGTCTCCTCTTCGGGCGTTTGCCTTCTCTTGGAATCTAGTCAGTTACCCTCAATGACCAGCGGTTATCCTGCCTACGTGCTACGTGCCAGGCCCATGTCCATTTCTTCTTCTTGTTTGATATCCTTCACCTCGGTTTGTTCCCGGACTCACCCTGCTCTCTTCTTGTCTCTTAAGGTTACACCTTTCACTTTTCTTTCCATCGCTCGCTGAACCATCCTCACTTTAAACTGAACATTTTTTGTTCAGTTTCTGATCCGTTGGTAAGTACTGGCTAGGTGCATCTCTTACGTACCTTCCCCTTGAGGGTTGGTGGTAGGTTACCATTCATGATTTGAGAATTGTTGCCGGATGTGATCCACCGCATCATTATTCTTCTAGTTATTTCACTGTCATGGTTCGGCTGCGCGGTTAGTACCTGACCTAGGTAGACATATTCCTTTACAACTTCCAGCGTCTCTCCACCTATCGCAAAGTGCCATTTTCTGCCGAGGTGGTTGCGCATCACATTTAGTTTTCTGCTTACTAATTTTGAAACCTACTCTGCTGCTTTCCGTGTCTAGTTAAGTAATCATGGGCTGTAATTCGTCCCCTGAGCTTTTTATCAAGGCAATGTGATCAGCGAATCGCAGGTTACTAACACACTCATCATTAACTCTTATCTCAAACTCCTCCCGATATAGGACCCTGAAAACCTCCTGTAAGCACACGGTGCATAGCATTGAAGAGACCATGTCTCCCTGCCTTACACCCATCTTTGTAGGGGTTCTGTCACTTTCTTTATGGAGAACTGTGGTGGCTGTGGATCCACTGTAAATTTCTAGACTGTGAGTTATATTGAACACATGGTGTTTTGCCGGAAGAAAATAGCGACGCATGCATTGAGTGGCGCATGGCTGGGTCAAAGCTGAGATGGTCGACATTTAGCTGGGCCTGGTTTGACTAAGCTGATAATTATTTAGCATCTAGAACACACTGCTAACTTCGACCATAATTGCTCTACTGTAAAATTGTGATACAGCTCGTTTGCCGCAGAAATTAAGCAGATCCCACTACCGTTAAATCCTAAGCAAATACCCCCTCCCCTCAAACAAGCGCCCCTTCCCTTTTTGGGACATATCAAATATGAGTAAATGACTAAACAATTACTTCGTGCCCTCCCCTCGTTCTCGCTGTTTTTATTCGCCCAACGAGGGCCAATAACGGCAGTGAATGCGTGTCTATTCAATAAAGCGTTTCATTAAAAGGATGCGTCACTCTTGTGCTGCCATCTTAAATATTTTTTCTGCGACTGAGCAATGCCTCCCCCCTCCCCTTGAAGTCTTGTCAGATTATCCTTCACCTGAGGGGGTAGGAGGAGCGCTTCCTTGAGATTTTACGGAATTCATGACACGGGTTCAAAAATAAAAATAAAAAAGTTATCACACAGGTGACATTCACCGGTCCAGATTTCTATACAGACGTAACCAATAGCTCAGGAAGATTCAAAGGAACCATCTGGACTTAGCTTCTCTTGGTAACTGTCTGCACAGAGTGTTGGAACGCGAGCTGATTCATGCATATGCTACATTTACTTCCACGACATGTGGCCAAGCTGTCATAACAGCTCGGCTTTTAGAAGCATATCAGGTGGGGATCATTTAAGCCATTTTATTTTTCCTGTTGCTGAGAGCGTTGCCATTGTTATACACAGACTACACTACTTGCTAAAGTCCAATAAAAATTACCATGGTCCTGCAGCCGTTTCAGAGTTCTACTTGAAGACTGTCTGTCACAACAATACTGCCTTTTATCACAGGTGAGTCCCATCTCAATGCCCGATATATAATATTTAAACCGTTTTATCCTAGCAGCGCAGAGTGTGTCACGCTTTACCGCTTCCGTTTGCAATACAACGTTATCGACAACCTCTTTCCTGTTATGTCAATGCCCGAAAGAGAACGCAAGCTTTCCGTCTTCGTCCGGCAGTCTGCCATAGTTTCGTAATTCTTTCTCATTCGGTTCCTCTTTGAGCCGTTTTGCTCCTTCGTTTAGCAAATGTTTGTCGGGAGAGACGGATTCCGTCATGCAGTTTGACTCTTTTTGTTTTTAAATTTTGCATACGAAGCGCGTTGTCATTACTGCAATGAAGGCTGTTAGTTTATTGTGCTGAAAGCTTGAGCCTTGACACTTTTAGAAAGAAAAATAAACGCTCTAGAAATGCAAAAATAGCACCAATATTGTTTCCTGGCGTTGTTTTGTCTTATCCCACAATTGCGCCATTCATGCGAAACGTGACCGTCAATGCACACTTTCGAATCATCTTGACAACGGCTGTTTTGAGAGGAAGATCCGCTTGCTCGCTCAGTAGGTTCCGCATTTTGTATCGGCGATCAGTGAGATTGTGGGATGAGTTGCCGGACCTTTCAACCAATCACGCGATTGCACACGGGGGGGGGGGGGGGGGGGCCCGCGCATGCAATAAAAGGGTTCTGTCGAGTTCCGCGACGCGTGTACAATCTTGAGCTTCCACAGGCGTTGGACGTTGAGTTGTGTACTTGAAGTGATCTTTACAATTTTGCGTAGGTCAAGTCATCCTGGTCCTGAACCGGCAAGTGTCTTTGCTACTTGAGTCTCTTCGATTGTATAATACAAGGGCTTGATTTTTCTAGAAATGTATACTTTACTGAAACTTGCTTTGTTACGTTGCGACAAAGGGGACATATGTAGACACACAGTCGCTTGCCTTTGATGAAAAACACCAGTAATAACGCCAATCCCGCATGGGTCAATAACCTGCGAGCAAATCAAGGAATTGGTGATATCAGCTGTTAGAAACCATGACAATAGCAGCCGAGGTAAACACGTGCACATAGGAGTGAAAGGCAATAAATAATCAGATTTTGCGGCAGATTCTTTTTTGCCTTTCACTCTTGTGTGCACGTGACGGTTTTTGTTCTTGTTTTCAGCTATATATTTCCAGGTGTAAAAAATTTTGTAGACACAGTTCTTCTTCAGCGCTTGTGTCGTGTGTTCAATATTTCTCCGTCCCGTTTTTTGCGCTGTTCCCTTCAGTACAATAATAATACTGTGACGTTATTGAAACCAGAAGCGAATAAATGCAATAGTTTTTCAATATATTTAACACGAGAGTCTTATTCTCTCACGTGAAAAATTAAATGACCCGTTTCACTTATTCATATGGCAGAAACATATGCTAGCACCCCGTCTAACAGTGTCACAGTGAAGAGCAGGAATTACGGAATGCTCACAATGCGCAATCCGCTTGACTTTTCGGCAAACTTCTTATTGCAACTTTTTATTATTACCTGCAAATTGTGCATATGAAGTTAATAATATTATTCATTTATTTATTTGATTTATACCGTGGAAAAAAGCTTATGCGGTGTAGGCAGAACACACACACACAAAAAAAAAAAACTGGAGGACCCTTAAGCTCCGCCTTTAAGAGTTGAACGCGATAGCGAAATTCCGCCCCTAGTGCGCCCTTCAACCGCTAAGTGCATACTTATTATTATGTTTTATTACACACACACGCGCGCGCATGCACACAGTCGATTGTACAAGCGCGCGTGTGCGAATAGTACATACAGGTCTTTGATCTAAAGCTAGAGTCGCATGTCCTCCAAACTACACGACACGCACTTGCATTTCGGAGGCCATAAAGAGTCTTACAATACCTCACAGAATGCAGCACATTATCTAGCGTTTGCTGTTTGCCTGATCAATGCCTCTAGAAAGGCATGATATGTTTTCCGCTAGACGGACATAGTTGTACATTTTTAGAGCTGTTTGAAAGTTTCTCCATGTTTTTAGCGGCGATGGCTGCACTACTCCGGCCTTTTTCGACATAGTTTGATGCCTCCTAAATGCGCCTGCAAATCGCCGAACGGGCTCGTTTTCGTCGTGACACCTGTCGAACAAAATGCGTTAAAGGGGCGCTGAAACACTTTTTAAGCAATCATGGAATTAATTCGCTAGAAGAGCTTATATTGCCTCACGAATTCAACGCCGCTAAAATTATAAAGATTTATCCATTGCGAGCGGAGTCAAAAAGGTTTGTCGCATGCTGCAATTGCATTTTTTCTTCTCTCGTTCCGATGAAAGCGCTGGAAGTTAAGCAGGGAGGGGTGGAAGGGGCAAAGAAACTACATCACCTACACCTTGGGACCTGGAGCACTTTTTTCTTCTTTTTTTTTTCTTCGAATGCGCGGCTTTGTCAGTGTGATAGCGCGCACACGCGTGGGCAAGTAGCGGCCCCGCGGCGATGTCTGTAATGAGCTTTTTCGGTCACGAAATATTTTTCGCTCACAACCAACTGGGCCAACGCCGACGGCGGAATTTCTGCCACATGAGCTCTCTAACGTTGTCGCGTTAAAAACTAAATCTTGTCATTTGAACCATACAGTCCGGAGCATACAACTTTTATTTTCTGTGAAGAGGAGACCAAAAGGCAATGCTTGGTGTTCTTTGTGTTGTCTACTTGCCTTTGCTTGCGTTGCAGCTTGGACGTTTCACTTTCTATTATAGTGAATCCCTAGAGGAAACCTTTCTCTCATATTAGCACTTATGCCAGTTTCAGCTGGCAATGTTTTTTTTTGTTTTTCTGAAGCTGCAGGGAAGAGAGAGTGAATTAGACACTCCTTTCGTAAGGCATACATCATTTGATATGTGCCTATTATGACGGTGACCCATGTTATTCTCCTTCTGCTGCACATAATCTTCGTAGGTCTATAAGGATCGGAACAAAATGAACTGGGTCGTAGCCTCATTCAGCCTTGTGATCGTCTGCTTGGCTTCAAGTAGTAGCGGTGCGCAGATCACCGTTGTGGCTCCTCCTGGCTTAGTCCAAGCCGAAGAACGCGTCAAGGAGCTCGTGGTACTCTTCTCTGACATAAAAAGTGAGCAAACACGAATGTCTTGGTCGTGTATTATATGATTCTGTGGAACCTATGTCGTCTTTGCAATAAATGAATATATTAAGTACTAATGATTAAATTGCCTTATAATCAAGCGAATGATTGTTTAAGAAATAAACGCCCAGAAAGAAAAAAATGGATGAGCTGAAGATAAGGTCGTCCCCCTTTTTTGTTCGCAATAATAACTCCATAATCTCACACTGAAACGTAAATAATATGTGATTGTGCTAGTTAGCTAAAAGAGAAAAAAAAGAGAAATTTGAGCATATACGGTATGCCTCGTGACACCGGACGCTGTGAATGGTACACAGCAACATGCGGTAATGTTGAACTCTGAATAAACTTTAGCGAGGAGCTCGCTTCCTGTACAAGAAGACACTGTTGGCTCTCTTGGGATGCCCATGATTGCTAGCGCTGACGTCCACACGTTTCATCAAGTCATGAAATGTTGCTCGAGTATTAACAAGGTTGCGAGTCCGATTTTGCAGGGGAGGTTTCTTCGAAAGTTCATCATTTTGTGTGGGATCAAAACTGAGCTCTCATGACAACGAGGGACAGCGTTGTTGAGAAAAAGAATAGATTACTACTTGCAAATACAAAAAAGTGGTGCTGATTTTTAAAAAACAAAGCGTTGAAATTGACATGTATATAAGGAAATATATACGTTTCGAAAATGTGCAATGCTTTTGAAGCAAACAATTATTTAAAAAAACTACTGGTGAACTGTATCCACGAACAAAAGGCGCTGTCTTCCGGCTTACAGATTAACTCTACTGTTGCAATCATCACTATAACAGACCCACAATCGTCACAGCTTCAGTGGCTTCCACCTCCACAGTAGTAAAAAAGGCGGTCTTTTTTTGGGGGGGGGGCTAGGTTGGGGGGCGCATAAATATGGCTGGAGGGCTACAACAATAGGCATCAACGCAGGACCACTAAAACAATCAATTTGGAATGTTGTTGAAGGCAGCGGTGCTGTAATCACTCGCAACGTCACTGCTCTAGAAGTTCGTACCACTAGGAGCGGAAATGCATGGATATATAAATCTTCGAAAGATAGTTTCTGTTTTATATATACGCTATGCTTCCAAGAATGCAGTTTTAGTGCCATCTGCGTTTAGTCAGGTGTACGCTATTCCATACTACGAGCAAACAATACTGCGCCATTTTACGTTGAAAGTATCAGTAAACATTTTTGCAGTAGTTGTGCTGATCAGTAACGCAGGTTTCTGGGCAAATCGGCACATTATGTTGGAAAGAGGAAACCCGCGATTATAAAACGAAGACAGCGATGAAAAACCAGCAGACAGGAAAAGCGCTGAGCAAGCGTTTCCCAGTTGCCAGTCCAGCACATCTCTTGACTGGTTGTCATTCAGCCTCATCGTTGCATTGCGGATTACCTCTTTCAAAAATTGTGACGACGTTTATACGGCAGGTGTGTTATGCTCGAGGTGTGCCACTGTGTCGTAGATGTAGGATTACCACAATCAAGAACCTAAACGAGCTCAGTGACCGTCCAGGTGTTCTGTCCGACAGGGAAAGTTTTGTTTGGAAGTTTTCTGCAGTAATTTGCAGCTTTGCTTCTGGTAATGCGGAAATCATATCGTAAATTCTCTAAAGAATCGTATAATTAATGCTAGTGGCAATAATTCAGAACGATTTTGCGTCACTTTGAAACGCCCGCTTAAATACCATAACAAACTAGGGCCCCACAGCGGAGCAGCGTCTGAAACTACGTGCGCTCAAGCTTCGGTGGCGCCGAAACACGCTGTTTTCTAATGGGAGCGCCCGCGGGTGGTGAAGAATGAAACGGTGTGGGGGCTTTGGGCATGTGGCCCTCAGGATAAAGCAAAAGATTCCTTGCCCAAGGAGACTAAACCACATCGAGAGCAGTCCTACAACAGAGCGAGAGGGGTGACGAACATTACTTCGCCGGGTGCCAGTATAGGGGTATTGTGCACGTCCCGCAAATGTTATTGACCTCTACAACGGCACAAGGGGATTTCCTACCTACATGAAACCACAGAAAATGTCGATTGTACCTGAATACTCAGAGGAGCGCGTACGCTTACTTTAAAACCAAATTAAAATATCTTCGAGGCAATACTCGCCACTAATAATCGGTGAGAAATGGCCCCGCATGCAAGACTATCAAACATCACAAGCATCTCGAGTTCTCAAATGACGTGCCAAGGGTCCTTTAGCAAGAGAAGCTGAGATTTGTCCACCAGCTCTGCTGTGACCCAGCCTTGGGCCATTTAGTAAAATCTGGGCTAATTTCATTCGCAGGCAGCATGCGGCCTCGCCATTGCGCCGACCAACTGCAGGTGGGTCAAACGACAAGTGGCCTCTACAACATATTTGTCGGGAGAGAAGACGGCCAAGGAAAAGTCGTGTACTGCGACATGGTCACAGACGGAGGAGGCTGGACGGTGCGTCATGTCGTTTCTTGCGCTTCGGGAAGTGTGGCCCACTTACATATTCGGGTCTACTACGTTAACGGAGGAATAGTGTTACTTTCTTAGCGTGTATCCACATGACGGACATATCCGCGCAAATCTCTTTGGGGGTGTGCGCGAATATCCGCGCACCCCCCCCCCCCCCCCGCCCCCGTTCGGCCATGAAGTACATCCAGACGACGGACAAAGCGAACAGACGGACGCGCTGTAGAAAAAAAAAAAACATGGCGGCACTGTTTGAAGCGAGAGCTGCCCTCTTCGAATCTTTAAGCTCTTCGTCGAGCATTGGGTGGGCTGTTATGCCCAAACTGATGGTTGTGTCGTTTTCAGGTATGTGTCCTCAAGCTTCGGCGGCAATGTATACAAGACAACTTGGTGCTGTTTTTGAGTGTTGTACTGGTTTTCTGCGAGCTGTAGGCTTAGCGAGTGCCGCTATTGGCAGAACATGAGCTCGGTGATTTGCGACAGCGCGCGTGCTACCAAATCTCTGAGTTCATAATATTGTGCGAATGCTTCCTTATTCCTCTTTTCTCTAGATGGTGCCACCAGCCACTTCGTCAGCTAAATTTACGAAACCAATCGAGAAAAACGAAATTGGTGCTTGTTGCCAGACTTGTAATGGCACTCTCAGCTAAATTTGTCAAGTTATTCTGCGCGAGTCCGATTGGGAAAAATAGCTTGGCATTTTCCGTCCGCGACGTCCACGGACCCGGCACGGATGGCAGAAATCCGTGATGTGGGGTCACGTGATGTGCCATTCACCGCTAAAAAAGACGGATTAAGTCCGTCGTGTGGATACACGCTTACCGTCCTATAGCGTTGCTGATTTCAACCGCCACGGCTGCATGCTTGTTTACATGAACTTCGGTAAGCGTATTGTAGCAGCCACTGCAGATCGCGATTGTCACCTGACAACATTGCAAGACATCGGCGGTCTGCTTCGGTCTTATATGTTGTTTACGGCAAGCGTAAAAAAATTGTGAAATCTGCGATTAGTTAAGCTCAACTTGCGACAAGCACGAGATACAAGCGCTTTTTTTTTTGTCGTGATGGACCTTTTCACTCAAGGCTTTCTGGGCGTCGCCAGTAGTCCTCTCTGGGCTGTTGGTATTGCGCGTGGACCCCCAAAAATTGCACTGCCGAGGCTATGACGTCGGCTTTTGTGCTCTCGTGCAACGAGCCCAGAAAGAGGATAATCCTCTTATCTCATAAAAAATGGCAGCTGATTGATTGATTGATTGATTTGTGGGGTTTAACGTCCAAAAACCACCATATGATTATGAGAGACGCCGTAGGGGAGGGCTCCGGAAATTTCGACCACCTGGGGTTCTTTAACGTGCACCCAAATCTGAGCACACGGGCCTACAACATTTTCGCCTCCATCGGAAATGCAGCCGCCGCAGTCGGGATTCGATCCCGTGACCTGCGGGTGAGCAGCCAAGTACCTTAGTCACTAGACCACCAGCGGCGGGGCGAAAAAAAAAATGGCAGCATATTCACGGAGTGAATGATAGAGAGTGGGGCGAAGCATCCGTCCTTCCATTCGTTCTTACTTCCCTCCGTCCACGCGTTCGTCTGTGTGACCGTCCGTGCGTCTATTCGCCCATTCGTGCGTGCAGTCTGTTCGTGCGTCCGTCCCTGCGTTCGTCCATGCATCCGCCCCTGCGTCCGTTCATGCGTCCATCCATGCTTTTTTCTGTGTGTCCGTTCGTCCTTCTATTTAACACTCCAAGTACCACCATCTCGCATCTTTTCATCATATATTCCCCATATAGAAGCACCACCATCCAGCGGACATTCCAAGAACTAAACGAGAGGTGGCACACGCACACTTTCTTACGGCTTGCGCTTCGGGTCTACTTCCCACGTTTAACCACCTCGAGTTCATGGTATATACTAGTTCACTGTATTCATGGCACTGCGGCTCAACGCTCGCTAAACCTTTCTAAAACCAAGGAGGTTTTGCCCAGCGAGTATAACGTAGACACCCTTTCTCGTCAAATAGTGCTCAATGTACATGCCAATGGCTGCTAAGGGGATATGAGAGACAGGAGAATTTGGCTTTCAGTTAACGCGCACGCTGCGAATTTTTTATTGTTTAACAGCGCAGAGAAGAAATCTCTCACCGGCACCACCTTGGCGGTCAAAATTTAAGACTGGTTACACACTACGACTACTACTACGACTACGAGGGACGAACGGGTTCCGCTATAGGGAGCTTCGCCCCTAAAAAAGTGTAAAGCTGCGACTAGTTTAGTCGTCACTATGCCGATATATTGTTATACGGTAGGAACAAGAATGCACCAGAAAGGAGATGGAGACGCCGATTGTAGCGCTCATATTGCTGTTCTGCTGTCTTGGCTGTAGCCGTGTTTAACTCTCCCTGTATATTTTGTAAATATATTTCATTATTTCATACTCTCACCCCGATGACATCTGGTGGATGTGCTGGGTAGCACATTCGGCAGGAACGGTGTTTTTTTCCACTGTAGTAAAGTGATTTAGATTGCTGGATAATGGAGCATGGTACATCACTGCTGAGGGCTGTATCTTTAATGTTATGTTGTACTACACTTAAACGAGAGCTTTAGAAAAAAATGAAACTTTTGGCCTTTGTGCCTATGCGATTATGGAGTTGGTGAAACTTCCTAAATGGACACAAATGTAGCGTAAACCGACGTAATCGATCAAGCTAAAGCAACAACCTACGTTAGGAATGCTCTGCAAGGCGCCCAAAATCAGCGGTGCACCGCTGACAGCTGAGGTTCTACAATATTACCTACGCGACTCACATATAGAAGGCAGTTTGCGCTAAATTGAACGTGATCACTGATTCGTGCAATCAGCTGCTACGTCGAAACTTCGACCGTAAAACCGAACAATCGTTCCAACATATATTTCTACGACAATTACATGAATAGACCAGGGTTTCGCCTACTTGTGTTACAGGAGTGCAGCGCATGCCGAATTATTTTCTTTATTCCCGCTAAATCTTGCTTTGTTGTCTTGAAGGCAAATATACATATAGAATCGCTGTTCTGTATTACTTAAAAAAAAAATGCTTAGAGCACGACAAAAACAAAAAATCAAGCGGACAAAAAAAAAAAACGCGACAAAGCGCTGACTTTCAACTGCACTATACGGGATCATTTCCCCACAAGGAGTGCCTATACATTCTGCCTTTACGACATGCAGGTAATCCAGAGACGAGGACAGTTTGGTAACAGCGTGTACTACTTTTACCGAAACTGGACCGAGTACGCCAACGGATTTGGAGACCCTGCTAAAGAATATTGGTTCGGTATGAAAACTCTTGGTATATGATTTCGTGCACCGCCCTTGCCGAGACTCTGTGATTCGGTCAAATATCTCGATGACCCAATAGTCATATCATGTAACGCATATGGTGATGCCCCGATGAAGGGAGGCTAATAGGTGCACCGAAAGTGGTGCGACAGTGAATGGGATGCACTAACGTTTTACTCACTTGTAAAAAAAAATTGTCCGACAAAAACCGCTACAAAATAATGCTATAGTGAAGTATAAACACGAGAATTGCGAATATACGCGGTCAGAAATAGCTCGGGCGATGTGGGACTTATTATGCCCCTTGAAATGTTGGCCTGTGTGAACTCTGCAACTATTATTTTCTTTGGTGAAAAATTGCTTCGCGAAAGCAATCATGGACTAGGTAGTGAGTGTGTAATTTTTGCTTGCCTCGTATAGTCATTCAAGGATTAGACGCTTTTATATTGCCGCGATTGTAAAATGAGCTATCGTTAACCTAATTTGTAGTTTCTCAAATAATTCTGCAAAGGCTGTTTTAACCCCTTCTTTTTCTATTCTAGCAATATTGCCCTTGCGCAACTTAAGTATTACTTTTTTGCGTTTATGTATATGCAACTAGCTTTATGAAGTGGGTACCTATATGATCTTGTTTTGTACTTGGACCTCTTGATTAGCAGGCACTGTATGCACAGGTAACTATAGATGCTACACTTCTACATGCAAACAATATAGCGTTTCAATTAGTAATTAAATATGTTTCTGCATCGAGTAGTTGCCAGTGGGTTTAATGTGTCCGTTTGAGGTGGTGTCTGACTTGTGTTTTTAGGAGCTTGAATACAACTTGACTATGAAAATAGCGTGCGCTTGTCGTACTGTATTCACAGATTCCTGTCTGCTACAATGAGACGTGTTTGAAAACACACTGGACATGGTAGCTACTTCACTGCCATTAAAATCAGCACCAGTTCCTGTTTCTTCAGAAAAGTTCATGACCCATATTTAACGTCATTCCAGACAAGTCACTGTGAAGAGCAGCTTTCAAACGCGAATTATTCTGAGTAATATAACTCTGCCATTATTTATATGCTAATGGAAAATGTGCTGTTTCTCACGACTGGGTCCTACATCAAGACCTCCGGCCATTTCACTACCGGAACAAATATCCTGCGTGATGTTCATACAGGTTGGCGAAAGAGCCTGATTTCTAAGGCCACTACAATTGCGTGCTGTGCGTTAAACATTAGACTTAAAGGCTCCGCGTAAGGACAGGGTCTTCAAGAGGACGCACTGCGCACTTAAACGAAATCATTTGTTTTGTGAAGTAAATAGAGTGAAAAAAGTCACAGTTCGGCTGCGATATACGCGATAAGAAAAAGTTGAAACTTTATGTGAGGAAAAACTTACAGATAAATAATAATAAGCTTACAGATAAACCACACCCTTTGAAGCAAGAAATTCTGGCTGTTTATTGTCAAGCTCGTCAGAGTAATCGACTGACGCTCGTTACATAGTGATCAAGAAAAAAGCCCTCTTTAATGTTTCGTCGTGAAAGATATACAGTCAGAATGATCACATGACTCCCGTGATAACCGGATAAAGGAAACTAAGATAGCGCGTGTCTTGGCGCTTGTCTCTGGAGCAGGCGGTCACGGAATGCAGCAGGATGACGTCACATTTATTATTTCATTGCAAACTGAGTGGTGAGACCACCGCTCGGACCGCTAAATTTCATGATCTTGTCCAAGTTGGTTTGGCGCGTGGTACTACGTTGATTATTAAACGTCGTGATTAACTTTGAGACCAAGAGAGATACAGCACATTTTTACGTAGTCAGGCTCAGCGCTGGTTCGCGAGAAATCGCCCGCTCTATCATCGAAACTGCACGCATGCTGTTGAGAAAGCAACAAACACCAAAAGTCTAAATGCCTCTGCAAGTGCGAGATGCTCTTATTTAAGATCATTCATGACTATAGAGTGATCACCGTAGCTCCTATGACGACTTCATTTTCGCAGTTGAGTCAGAAAGGCCGCAGTCTTCAAATTACACGCCTTTGCACTGATTTAGAATACGCGCCTAAGGAAGTGGCCTCAATTACCAGTTGTAGTCGTTACGTGCAAGTATACATTCACCCTCTTTTTTAGTCACCATTTCCTCACTCACAGTGTAAGAGTAGTGAACATAGCCTTCGTCTGATCGACCTCCCTGACCTCCCATTCTTTGCTGTCGTATAAGAGAGACGCTAAACAGCACACTTAATCTCGATAAAGCAATGGTGGCTGGAGCTTTGGAAAGTATCGTTCATAATGGTCTTATCTATATTATAGCGAGGAGTATCCTCACAATGCTATTTTTCCCCGTGCCTTATTCTGACTCTTCCTTAATAAGCTTTGTTGCAAATACTGGACTAGCCCCGACGTGACGATTCTGCATACAATCACCTCCCTAACTTATCGTATAACCTTTTTTTTTCTTTCCCTTACCCATTTCTTGATGTAGAGTGATATGTCGATCGGGCCGACCTGACTGTGTTTCTATATAATGAAATTATCTCTTGTCAACAGGCAACAGAGCACTGCACGCCTTGACGTCGAATGGAGAAAACATGGAGCTGCGAGTTATTCTGACAAACCACACAGGGGAAAGCGTTTCTATTGACTACGAGATCTTCAAAGTTGCCTCAGAGAAAAAACGTTTCAAGTTGCGCCTAGGCGCGTACCTGGGACCTCGTGGTAAGAAATAAGCAACCACAAGTTTTGCATTTTTTTGAAGTGACGCTGTCGTACAGGAGCCCCTTAAGTGCTTATGATGGTGTCTCACTGACCAGGTGCTTGTGCATGTGCTGTGTGATGTGTTAATTTTCTGACTCTTTCCTTCCTTTGCTCTCCTTCTTTAAATCTCTCCCGCGCCGTTCCCACGTGTAGGGCAGCAAACCCGTTATTCTGGACTAGCTGATCTTCGAACTTTTCCTTGTCTATCATTTATTTCATAACCAAGTACGTAAATACAGCGCTAACACGTTATACAAGGGCCATCAATAGCGGCCGTTCTGTTACACCATTAGATATTGAAAAGATATACACTATTAAAAAATTCACAGCATATCCATAGAGTGAATAATGATGAGGAGTTAAGCATCCGTCGATCCATCCGTCCATCTGTCTGTCTGTCTGTCTGTCTGTCTGTCTGTCTGTCTGTCTGTCTGTGTGTCTGTCTGTCTGTCTGTCTGTCTGTCTGTCTGTCTGTCTGTCTGTCTGTCTGTCTGTCTGTCTGTCTGTCTGTCCGTCCGTCCGTCCGTCCATCCATCCATCCGTCCGTCCGTCCATCCATCCATCCATCCATCCGTCCGTCCGTGCGTCCGTCCGTCCGCTCTTATCACACTAAAGTACGCATCGGATGGACGTATGGACGCTTCGCTCTTCTCATGATGATTCACTCCGCGATATAGTGGGAATTTCTTATTATAATGGCGCCATCTATTCTCTTAATCGTGAAATATACGAACACCACTAACGTCATCTAGTGAGATTATATCCAAGGACTCATACACACAACAATATCTTGTGAGAAATTATAGAGTTGGCTTCATACACTACATACTTCATACAAACGGGTGAGGGAACGACCCACGCGCTATGGAGCTTCACCCCTAGAGGTATACGATTGCAGCAAAGTAAAATACTTAAAGAAGCAAGACTGGCAAGTCACAGCCGGTAATATTTAACAGTCGATCCACAAATAGAATTAAGCTCAATGCTGCATTCCGCACAGTTCATACTACTACACCGCTGACCTGTATTGACTCTCAGGTAGGCCTCCACGATTAGCTCGGGCTGCGCGTCGTTGGTGCGCGGCCAAGGTTAATCACGTGGGCCATGCACAATATGTGCAATTTAAAAAAAAGAAGAAAAGTGACGTACGGAAAGAATCACACTTAACTCGAGCAGCGGAGCGCGTGGCTGTTGACATTGTGTCGGCTGAAACTTCTTCCTCATCTTAGCTACAAGCTTCCGTTCATGCTTTGAATATAATGCAAGAGCCTAGTATGCGGTATGACCATGTTTGGTATCATAACGGCATCAGTCTTTGCGTATTTCTGTACAAAACGGCAGCTGCAGTGGTTGGCTGGGCGCTTCAGACAGGTGTGATTCTGTCTGTGCGATATACGAATGAAGCGTACTTGAAAACTGGGGACACTCTAGCTTCTCCTTGAAGAGCAGAATGCGATGGTGGCGCCCCTTCGCATTGACTTTTCAGTTCACTAGGCGTGCCACGAGGAAATAATAAGCTTGCACGTATCATTAGCCATTGCAAGGAAGCAGGATGGAAGGAAGAAGCGGAAAGACTGAGAGGTTGGTCAGTTCTTGGACTGGCTAGCAACCCTGTGCCGAAGGAAGCGTAAGGGGGTTACATTGTCATAGAAGAAAATAATACAAAAATAGAACAAAAGAGGAAAGAAATAGAAAAAAAGGAGAATACGACCTTGCCTAAAGTTTGTCTCTAAGACCAGACGTTCACTAGAAACTCAACAACGCTTTCAAAGCCGCACAAGTCTAGCGGCGAACGTTCACTACGCAATAATCCTTTCTTGTAAAATTGTTCACCTGCGATTGCTGTACTGCCTAATGCGAATTCTAAGCGGACCACGTTTTAGGTTTTGTCTTTCCGCAAAGTATCTGTATACAGCTTTTTAAATCTTAATCTTTGTGAACGGGGATGATGATAACTTTATTGTTCCGCCAAATAAAGAGCCCTTCGTTGTAGCATGAACGACAATGTTTTTTAGTACATTTCTTTAATTGCGGACGCTCTGAAGATCACAGCGAAAAGCATTTCGGTCTGATACTTTTTTTTTCGCACCCATTCATAAAGACTTGAAAATTTCAGCAGTAACCAGATGAATACCTTCACACGTTGAGGCCACCGTTAAATATTTCAAGTTCGTAATTTTTTCTGCTTTTGCTTTCAAGGACAGAAAGCCAAAAAATACTGTTTTGGAAAGGCTTTTTCATTAGTGCATTTTCGGGAGCGAGAGGTTAAACAGCTAAAACACGCAGGCTGGGACTCTCTCTACAACTGCAACGGCAGTGAGTTTTCCACTTTCGACCAGGACCACGACAGCGCTGAAGTCAACTGCGCGAAGACGTACCGCGGTGGCTGGTGGTACAACAACTGCCACTCGGCAAACCTGAACGGCCTGAACCTGAACGGTCCGCACGACAGCTACGCCGACGGCATCGACTGGAGCATCCGGAATGGCACTGGTTTCCTGTACCACTACTCGTATCCCAGTGTGACGATCATGGCGAGACCCGCGACACTGTATACAAATCGTGAAAGCGGCTACCTGTGAGGGAATTCAGTTGCGTGAAAAAAATCATTACCGAAAGAAAATTATATACGCTGGGGCGTAAGTGTCACCTTTTTTTTGGGATGCTTGCAATGACTATTTAGAGCAGTCAGAATTTCGTGAGCTTATTAAGACTGGTTAAAAAGATGTGAATGATGTTATATATAGCACGATGCAGTCGTGATTAAAATAGCCCACCTTCACTGCACTGCAGGCATTCATCCCAAATGAGGCCGTGCGCTAAGCTTGAACACAGACCAAGAATGCTTTTTGTAAAATGTTTTTCACTGGTAACTGGCAAAGTTTAACGTATACGAGGGTTGCAGAATCTGCCAATACGAAATTTATTTGTCCAAGTCTATTTGCTGCAGAAGCATTCATACTTCACTGATTATTGAAAGAACACTTTATATTCGATCAAGACAACCTCTATATAGATCTGCAAGATGTTTCAGCGCGCGAACAAAGGAAAAAGGACAGGGTAGACAGAAAGAGCGCTGCGCTCTTTCTGTCTACCCTGTCCTTTTTCCTTTGTTCGCGCGCTGAAACATCTTGCAAATATGACTACGCACCAACTAGCCCAAGTTTCCACTCTATATAGATGCTCCAAAATAGAAAAGCACGGCATTCTCTCGAGATCAAATATCACAGAGATAAAATGTGATCTTCCTAGTCCCGGAAGCCCTCTTGACTGGGTTTGGTGTCACATCGAGATGAAAGGTTCACCTTTTACTTTCTTGATACCGTGATACAGTTGTGGAACTTCGATAAACAAAGGCCTGCTGGGCTTGGGAGTCTCTGCATATGCAACAGTTGGGGTGCGATATAGTGCGCTTTATTTTTATCCGCATAAAAGTAGCAGATCATTCAGTTGTTCACGGTTTGACGCACGTTTGATGGAGCTGTGTCTAATAAACTAGATTTTGACTGCTAGTGTATTGTGAAGCTTCTATACTCATAAAACCTGTATATACTAACTTAACCACAGTCCTGTTAAGATCGTGTATATTGTGTTAATGTAAAAATGATGTTTCTTTTCTATCCTATTTGTGTGTCGCGCACCAGTTTTTGTGCAATTGTTGACGAGTGTTCTGTAACGATGCACGTAACATACAGTTGGACTGCTTGACGATATAAATAATAGTAAATATACTTTATAGCCATGGAGCACCCGAAACGCTTGGTTCATATTCTGGGTCACTTGGAAGTTCGGCTGAATTAGCTTGATGGAGGACTGATTGCACTTTTTGGCATGTCACTGACAAACAAAATATGCTGAGCATTGTAACTTTATTCGCAATGCTGTTCAAGAAAAGTGCCAGCTTTCACAACTACCGCTCGTCTCAACTGTTGAATGTGGTGATCGCCCTACCCCACCGCTGTCAGTCTAAACGCCGCGCTCAACAGCCAGGTCACACCAGGAGAGTGTTTCGCATCTGCACTCACTGCCTTGCATAAGTAACCACGCAGAGGGCAATTAAAATTTACAGCGGAATATTTCGGACAAGGGCCCTGTCAGAATTTTTTCTGCCAAGCGTAGTGCTGTGTAGAAAGGACTAGCTCGCACTTTTCAGTCGGCTCATTGCAGTCCCTTTTATGCTCACTATTCAAGTTCAGTTAATTAGACATCTGGCAGCGATACTTATCACGTCGCTTTCGGTCTCCTTCGTCTCTTGAAATATTCAAACACATGGTCTTCACCAAGCTGCCAACCTAAATTTAAGATACCCAGTCAGCCTAATCTTCACCATTTCATTGAGTGATGCATAACAGCTCTACAGAACTCAAGACGGCGTCGGGCGAGGCCGAAGTAAGATAGAGGGTGCATCAGTGTTTCCTTTTTTTTCTGGAACGCCTTCGACGTGTTTTTTTGCTTAAAAAGAATCTGTTTTAAACGGGCTAATCAGTAAACGGGCTAAGCCTGGCTTAGCCCGTTTAGTCGTTATAACAGAGAAACAAAGAAAGGTAAATAAATGAAATGCGAAGTAACGAGTGAATGATTAGCTAAATAAATAAGTTGAATAAGCATCCATGCAATGATGTCTTTTAGCTTCATCGCTGTGCAAGAAGGGTCGTGTGTTCTTTATCACTGAATTTGTGCACCGTAGACAACAAGGTTTCCGGTTTTTCCGGACGCACGCCGCACCAGAGAGGAAGTGTACACGTGAGACGAACATTTGAAAGCCCACTCGCTTATCTTACGCGTGGCTGCGTGGCACAAATTAAGAAAAAAAAAACATTCCTTTAGGATGGCAGGCAGAGCGGAGGATGTATGCAGAGGCCAACTAAACTTGTGGGGAAATAACAGGCTTACAGAACCTAACGACAAGACATGGCAGATTGGACAAAGGACAATTAACTGACATGAATGGGAGCTATAACTGACACGAGTGACGTTACGGCAGACGCAGACTCGGCAGCCCCTGACTCATCACGCTCGAAAGTCCCAGATTCACAGCAGTATTCTTTCTCGCCTTTCGCCTTGCGTGACCTTGCCATCTTGACCTGCAGCGCCTCCCCGTCGGGGTCAAGTTTCATCGGCAGGCTGCAGCTATGCGAGTGTTCGCAGCGGTGACAGGAAGATGAATGGTCGTAGACACGTGAGAAGGTTCTGAGAAGGCGGGTGTTTCCCTGCGGTATCGGTTCATCGAAACACGCATGACTTTTAATTTTTTTTTTCATTTTTTGTTCTGTCGACACGTGCACTTGCCAGGCGTCGGGAAGCGTTATAAGCTTATGCGAGAGGGCACAGTAGTCGGTGTTCGCATCCTGAGCAGGTTTTCCGCCACAGAAGGATACTCGGTATCTCAGAGAAGCGCACGCTTTTGTCGGAAGCTAGTCTGGGTGAGTTTGCTATGTGCGAATAGATATTTTGTTCGCGATGGTGAAGTGCCTGTTTAAGTTGGGATTGGCGAAGCTCTAAGTTCGGTACACACCAGTGCCTGATTAAAAACCGAACGCTAAAGCACACATAGGAAATGATTCACACGATGATTCGAGGAGTGTCCTATTCATAGACGCGCGTTCCTTATAGTGTCACTTGACATAGAACAGAATTATGCAGTGAAAAAAAAAAGAAGAAGTGAAGGTGAACCAATTTACATATCATGATATAAACACTAAAAAATTCTACTTGTGAGCAAGAATAAAGCCATGTCATTGTTATGTGAATCAATGAGATGATTTACATCTAGCTCTTTTATTTTCGCTTTGTGTATGCCATCTATGTTGAGATATACAGTTCGGTCAATCAGCCTTGGTGATGTTGTTATGGTGCTGGAATGGTGACCCGCTGGTCGCGGTATCAAAGCCCGGTCACGTCGGCCGCATTCTCGACAGATGCGAAAATGCTTTAAACCCGTGTGCTTAAATTTATGTGCTCGTTGAGGGACCACAAGTGGTCGAAATTGCTGAAGACATTCACTACGGACGACGACGAAGAAGTGGCACTGGCAGGTGGGGAACATCAGCTCCTGTTTTCTTGAAGGTTTTGGGCCAGAAAATCGCGCCCAATGCTTCCAAGAAGCGTACCAACGAAAGTGTGAAGTGCTCTGGATTGCTCCGATACTAAGACTTTCACGGTGGGCAAACTAAACAAATCTCAGGCGACTACGCTAAGGCTAATACAAGCAAGAACCTAACTGATCCTACCGGTAAATAACAAGATTTATCCGGAGTCCTCTATTCCTGCAACACGCGATCGATGCCACGACATGATAGACCTCGCTCATAAGCTCTGGCGCTACTTCGCGTCACGCAGTGACAAAGAAAATACTGAAGAACAGTGGGACGCAGCTTTACGCAGTTAGAGCGACAATTATGGGTGGTCCAGTGCGCCCGCGAAGCTGCTGAAGGCCTAGGTCTAACGGTTCCAACATGGGAGCGTCCCAATCACGGCTAGGGCACACCAGCGGGACCTATTGGACGTTGATAAAGTTCTTTCATCTATCCACCTGTTCACTACGACGTATCTCCTATACCATATCATGTTTTTTTTTATTTTAAATCCGATGAATTATTATTTCCTCATTTATCTTTTTTTTTCACGGTGAAAAGAAGCGCTCCGCACAGACGATTACGGAGGGATATGGGGTTATTGTCCAACACCATCGTTATAGGAGTAAGAATAATCGCATGAAAAGGGGATCGTGATTATTGCGCTCTTATGGAGTACGTTCTATTGGAAGGTAATCTCGCCAACGGCCTAATAATCGTCCCCGTTCTTGCTGTTTGGAAGGTTCGTGTGTTACGTGTCGGAAACAAATGCACAGCCCCGGTCTTTTTAGGGGTGTATCAATTCTTCTCATAGAAATGAGACCGGGCTTGTGACCGTAAATTCTTAATGGCAACGAGCCACCTGTACACCCCCCCCCCCCGCCTCCCCCTCCGCACACACCATTGAGCCAGCTGAAGAGAACTTCGCCTTCGAAGCGTATTAACTACACATAAAGCGTGGCTCCTTCGCGGGCGCCTTTATCCACGATATAAAGGAAATGGCGTGTTTCCCTTAATTTATTCTTTTTTTGATGCTCGTTCTTGCGCACCTCTGGAAAACCTCAGTACATGTTCAGGAACAGCCACTATCGTAATCCATTGATGGTGCTCAACTACAGATCCGCTGGTTACGTAATGGAATCCTGGCAGCTGCGGCCGTGCTTTCGGTGGAAGTGAAAATGCTCGAGGCCCGTGTGCTTTGATTTAGGTGCACATTAAGAAGCTCCAAGTGATCGAAATTTGCGGAGCCCTTCACTACAGCGTCTCTCATAATCATATGGTGGTTTTGGGGTCTTAAACCCCTGGTATTTTGATTATATCTTAAGGCAAGATATTTGGCCGCGCAATACCGCAAATGCAGTGCTTTTGATTTAGTCAGCTCGTCTGGTACGTTTCGAAGACATTTTACTACAATGTCGAGTGAAAAACGAGAAACTCAATGGAATGTCACGAAATGAAGCTTAGACTTCAAGCAGCCGTGGAAAAGCAGGGAACGTACGTAATGCTTCAGAAACGCGCTCGCGATTGCATACGACTGTGTAATTACAAATGCTATTAACGAACGAATGCGCACCTGTTATTTTTATAATATAGCAAGGACCCCTGAATTATTTATATGCTGCATAACAGGTATTGCCTGCAACTGACGTTCCCTGAATCATATTTGTACCCAGCACTTTTGACTGAAAAAATGAACTCGCCGCAACAGCCAAGGCGCTGTGCTGCTGCGAATCACCCTTGACTGACAAAATGAACTCGCCGCAGCAGCTAAGGCGCTGTGCTGCATGGTGCGAATCATATCATTCACAGCAGCACAGCGCCTTAGCTGCGGCGGCGAGTTCATTTTGTCAGTCAAGGGTGCTACGCGCGTTACGTGGCCACCGTGGTTGAACCATTCCACGTTGACAAGATGGAAAGTGTGCTCTTCGCTACTTCTCCCTTACGCCCCTGCGATCTTAATCATCATTCATGTGTTCGCAAATGCCCATACACAAGCTTGGCTGATGTGCTATTCACATTGCTAATGGAGTTCAGGGACAGCTGGTATAGCTGGCCGCCTTTAGAATCAACTAGTCGCTGTTGCGCCGGTACCTGGGCCTGCTGCGATAATTTAACACTTTGCGGTTCATCTCATTGTATGCCGGAGCAGTGCCGGTGTGAGGGATGATTAAGACATTCGCGCGTAACATGTCCAAGGAGACAGGGGCCCAAATTCTGGGGCCTAACTTCTGAAAACACTGACTGTGCTGGCAACACTGTTAAATGAAAGAAAGGTGGCTGTCATACTGCGGCTATTGGGGCACCTTTACTGTACTTTCGTGCAGCGCTGTGCGGATGCTTGCATATCCTGTCGCAGAACCACGGTGTTTCGGCATTGGTAACTTGGAAATTGCGGCCGCTCATTAATCGGTCCAAACAATTTCAGCACTGATAGATCGGGAATAGTAGCGTTTTGCGTGCGAACTTGCAATATGCTTGTCGAATCAAATCATATTTTTTCCTCTCAAATAAAAAAAAAACTTTCAAACGAGCAAGCTGCTTAAGGACATAGTTCGTGCGTATCAAGCATCTCGAAAATGTGGAAGCACTTGAGCGTGGTGAAAAATTCTGAGTTTAGACAGCAAACATTTTAAGTGCTTTTGTGGTGCTCTACAAATTCGAACTTCAGTAAACTCTACTACCCAATTTTTATTTTACAAAAAAATTTTCTATATAGACATGCAGCACATATGTGAAAAAGAGGCGCATTTGTAAGGCAGCTAGTTTTAATGAGTCGCCAGAACAATAATTTAACCTTTGCACAGAAACTACTAATCGAGCAGTTGGTGGTTAATTCCTGTTAGCTGGGTTGGGCTTGGATAAATTAGTGATGCCTTAACTTCCGCGAGTTTATCTTGCTGTGGACCGCCTGAATAACGGCTTGTTGGCGGATCCAATTTTTTCTGGAGCGAAACGGTGTCATATCATGGCACGTGAAATCAGTGGAGTATTTCTTGGTGACAACGCATCTACAGCCAAAAGTCTCGCTAGCCCCTATAGCTTGTACCTGATGTATGAAACAAATGTTTAAATAGCTCGCTAAATCAACGAAAGAAAATTCAGTAACTAGGCTATCATCTGAATCTGCATTCGTCACTTAATTACAGGACTATAGTTCCAGGTTATGGACCCTGCCGCGGTGGTCTAGTGGCTAAGGTACTCGGTTGCTGCCCCGCAGGTCGCGGGATCAAATCCCGGCTGTGGCGGCTGCATTTCCGATGGAGGTGGAAATGTTGTAGGCCCGTGTGCTCAGATTTTGGGGCACGTTAAAGAACCTCAGGTAGTCGAAGTTTCCGAAGCACCCCACTACGGCGTCTCTCATAATCTTGTGGTGGTTTTGGGACGTTAAACCCCACATATCAATCAGTTCCAGGTTATGAAAGTATTGCACGACATAACCAGCCTTTACAGAAACAGTTTGATGCAGCAGTCGTTGGTATTTTTACAGTGCAGCATGGAACCTTCAGTGGTATGACTACGCCACGCAAGGGCGCCTTCTATCGTGGGCTGCATATCACAATCGAATGATAAGATTGCCATTTGTACTATCGTGCCAAACTCCTACGGCTCGCTTCATATTGTTTTGTGTAATGATTTTCACGATTGGAAACATTGGTCGCGGTCAACAGATTGCTGTCAAAATGGGCCTGACTTTACGCTGTCGCCGTTCAATGATGAAATTTCACGCTGTTCGTAGTAGTATAGTGTATCTGTTTACGTGTTTACGGAATGGCTATATATAGCATTTCCAAACGCTGCGGTACAGCTTCTTTGTCACATCTAAAACCCCGAACTGCTCCATGTCTCAATACGCGCAGTAATATGGCTATGGTAATACTTTCACTCACAAACACGCGCATGAGTGCTCGCGTGGTTGCTTAGATTAAGAAACAATTGATGGAGCCCACTGTGTTCAATAGTAAACAGGTGCGCCCAGCGAGGCAAGCCTCATATTGTCATTTGAGTGCGCGAAACCTGCATTACATCAACCTATATTGTTATTTTGACCCATGACGTGCGCTAAACAAGTCGACTTCGTGATATGTATGCGTGGCGTATACAACCTCTGACGCGGCTTCCTAACTGTGATCAACCGATATGGAAGTGCGCGTGGTCACGCTAGGTTCAAATATCTTCTGCCCATACTAGGAACAAGGTGTGTTACGCTATCACCAGGGTACACTTCCGTCCATTCTCTGATTTTTTAACACAGCATCTCCAACGCAGCATATTTAACAAAGCAGTTCGCGCAGTTCATCCGGGGAGCTGCGCCGTAGCGGCGGCGTTCGGTTTGGCTTGCACGGCTTCCC